TGTAATTAAGAATGTCTTAATCATTGCATGATCGACGCTTGTTTTGCTTCAGTTCAAAGCCATGACTACCTTTCAAGGTGGCACACAGAATGTTAATGAGACTATTGTATTGTATAACCAGCTATATGGCACTAATAAGTAAATCACACTTCTGTAGAAATGCAATATTCCAATGCACCATTTTTGTCTCATATTCTATATTCTATGGTTATGATTTCACTTACAACTGTCTAATTGAGAGTAAACACATAGAGAAATGAAATATYGATATACTGCTACAGATAATGTAAGTAGTACCTAGCAAAGAAATACTGGATGGATAGAGACGGCACACGTTTGCACTTGTAGTGTATGTTTGTTATACACTATTATAAGTGCTGTTAGTCTTGATAGAAATCATTGCTTAAGTTTGAAAGGAAATGAAAACGATTTGGTCATATCCCAAAACCCCAATTCAAACTTACAGTTTTGTAGTTTTCTTTCATGAAGTGCAATAGGCTAAAAATAAGTAAGAGTGATTATTATGTGAATCAAGGAAGATCCAGAATGTTGTCAGGGGGTGGTTGRGTAGAGAATTGTACTAGAAATTCACCCACCCCTCCCTGATTGGGTCCCCCCTTGGAAAGCTTGAAAATACTGTAAGTGGAGTGAAATGAAGACTGACGAAACACTGATAATATTAATCATTAATTGATTGTTGATTTATTATGAATAAATTATTGATCAATTAATGAATAATTTATGTTATTCACAATGTGAATATTAGTTGGATGAATGCATTTTTAAAGATATCTTGTTGAGAAATCTATAGTAATTTTTTTGCAAAAAGTGCATATATAACTTGTTATGTTCAAACTTCATATTCTCTTGGTATGTAGTATAATTCAAAGAGAGGTTTTCTTTTGATTAGTTGTCACTGTCATCATGATGTCATAATGTTGACACTGTGATGTCACACTGTTACTATGATGTCATAGTGATGCTGCTATGGTGACAACGATGTCACAGTGATGCCATAATTATGTCACTGTATTGTTATAATGGTGTCACTACATGTATGACCTCATAATGATATCACTGTGACCTCATAATGATGTTGATATGACATCATAATGTTGATATGACATCATAATGTTGATATGACATCATAATGATGTCACTAACATGATGTCACTATGACATCGTAAGATTAAAGTTCTAAGGTCTAGTCAAATTAGAAATGCTAGATCAGCCAACAGCTATTAAACCATTCAAAGGTCCAATATTGCTTTATCATCAAACAAATGATTTTTAATCCTAACAACTTTAAACATTTCACAAGAGAGCAAAAAGATATATTTGTGAATGGTGTTCAGAAGCTCCATCCAACATTATCCATCAACTTTAACCACATAATATTGAGTCATCGAATAATGTTTGATGATATTCACTGATCCAACATTTCATGTTTTTCTAGGGGTTTAAGTAATATTTCTTGTATTTGTCATTTATAACATTGAGTATGTAATGTTTAATGCTAGTAAGTATAATTATAGAGGGGTACAGTGGGTGTGGTTGAGAAGGGGGTCAAAGGCCCAAGGCCATTATTATCATGATAGTAGCATTCGTAGTATAGTCATTATTAGTGTCTGTAAATGCTGTTGATACTATTTGTATGTTGTTGTATGTGAATGAATGACCCTGTTGAATTATGGGATTTTTGGGGGGTATGTTGAAATTTCAGGGGCCAGTTGTACAAAGGAAAGATGATGTTATCCAATCTTAGATATTGTATGGACTTTATTTTGCTGGATAAGGATTTGCACAGCGGGTAGCACAATTCCTTTGTACAAACAGCCTCTATTCCTGTAAACTGCGTTCAAGAGTCTGCTTTTAGTTGAGTTTGATTTTTGAACTCATAATTAACCTGAAGCTATTTTAACGATGTCGTGGCTTTCACAGTGATCAAACATTTTGCTAAATTTCATTGTTGTTTGTCTGAAGACACTAGGGCAAGTGTTTTCTCAAACCTGAGCATTTTAGAGTAGTCGGTAGTTGTGATGGTTGTTTCGTAGAAAGACAAAATGATGTTAAAACAGTCATTCGTAAAACAGACAGGAGTTTTCCGTCAACGATGAGTGTGAAGTCTTCGACTATTAACCTTGTCTTATGGTTGGCAGAAAACTAAATACAATGAACAAATTGCATGTATAAATATCCATCATCTCAAATTATAAATCATATTATTATGTTGACAAACACTGCACTTTAACTACTTTGGATCTAGGCAGAGTGAGGCCGTTAACCCGTGAATGTCGTAATGTTCAGTATTTCATGGATTTTTGGCTCACTTTATAGTGATTGAATTGCCATTGAGTGATTTCCCAAACCCGTGAAACAAAGTGTTCTACTTGTAATTAAGAGTAATAAATCATTTTGTTTCACGGGTTTTAAGTCCAAATAAACGTGGACCACAGGTTTATTCAGATCACTTTGGTCAACGGGTCCTTTAGATTGAATATGTTTTGTGCGTGGGCTGTCACGGTTATTTTTTGTCATGATTTTGAAGCATTTAAGCGTTAGCTTAATATAAATGTATTGTAATCCATTCGTGTTGATTGTTGCCAACTAAAATATGCTTAAATTTCAATAAAAAGCTGCATAATATATGGATATAATGACTGTTTTCCCTTTTCTCCTCTTTTTTCCTTTCTATTCTTTTGTTCCCATTTCCTTTTTTGACTTCCATCAGATCGTGTTTCCCTCGAGCTCTTTCTTTCCATTCTTTACTCCCTCCCCTATTTTCTTTCGGTCTTTTATTCACTCTCTTTATTTCTTGACATTTTGATCAAGTTACCTTCCAAGATATACTCAAAAACGCTTCTTAAACACCGAATCATTAGTTGTGTATTTTATTGATGTGAACGAATAATGTTTGCATTTTCAAATAGTTTATTACAAGGCAGCAAGGGGATTTTTTTTCCTATTAAAATTAAGACGCGCTTGACGCTATATCTGAGGTGTAACAATCTAACTGAAAACAATTGAGTACATATGTGAAGGATCCACCTGCATCCGACAACCTTTGCGACCGTTTGTTCTGATTAAGATCTGTTCTTGAAAGTTGCTATTTGATTAGTTCAAAATTAAATTAACTATATGGCGATTTTTCGCATATGAGAAAATCTTGCAAAGGCTCTGGGATACTCGTAAACCTGAATACATCGTCCTCCTTGTAAAGTCTCATATATTTTTGGTATAATAGTGTAGTTTTACTTGTACAATCTGACGAGGCAATGTAACGTTTACTCTGTAAAAACTCGTCTCTAAATCACTAAGGTAAATGACTGCAATGCTCCAGTTTCTAATTCTCTTTTGTGCAAGCTTAGCTTCAATCAAACATAAATTTTTATTGTCTTCTTTGTAGACAGAGTGTTTGCATTACAATAGGATCTCTGCTGAATAAAAGAATATTTTACATGCTTTCGAGGTTRAGGCTGCACAAATAAGATCTCGAAACTGGAGTATTCCAYGGTAATGTTTTGGTCGAAAAGGAACGAATAATTAACTGAATGGATTTCGCTGTATCATCTTTTTTTATCCAGGGAACTGAATAAGACTTTCTTGATTTGGTAGTGCATATGGTGTCCATGCAGAAGTGGMGAAAGTTCGCCGAGTGCAGGTGATGATAGACATGCAGGATGCCAACTCMGRGTGCATATGAATTGGTAATGAGACCATGTRTKTTCATGGCACGTATTGGAARTGGTAAACKGCATTCCTCTCCTCKGTCTCGTGCTGYTTCTTTTCCGAATGATAGTCCCATAACTGAAAAAAAAATAACAATAAATGGTCATCATCTCAAATTAATCATCATCATCAACAAACATTATCATCATAATTATCATTATAAGCATTTGTTCATGATGTGCTAAAATCATCACCAACTTACCTCGGTGTTTCTTGCGCAGTAGAAAACAAAAACAAGAATCCCCTTAAAAACAAAATATTGACATTGTTTATAGTTTATAGGTACATCTAAATAAAACAACACGTCACTGTAGAYCACGAAATGCAGTTCCATCTGGAGAACAAAACAATTYATTCTACATCATTCCTTAATCTTTCGTTTTGTCTCTCAGATGAAGCTGCTTTGGTACTTGCAAGGGTTCTTAATAGAGAAAGCCTGAGAGAAAAGAGAACGTTCAGTTTAAGTTTCGACTCTCTTCAGTATTTAAAGGAGTCCTTAGCACTTCCACAGACATATGTTCATATGATACAGATATTGATCGTTTTCAACCATTCCCAGGAGATTCCAAAGATAAAAGACCGGCGGCCATGTTGGAGGAATGAACAATAGATACTAATGAGAAATCCTTTGTTAAAGTTCCTCCAACATGGCCGCTGTGACG